AAAAAAAGTTTGCAAAATATACTGATGATATAAATTTAATATATTAATGATTAATCTTAAAAAATAAATTTATTTTTAAATAAGTTAAGATATTATTTTATAATATTGAATATTATTATATTAAAATTATGTATTTATTATAAAGTATTAATAATTAAATTGATTGTATTATTAAATGTTTGTTATAATTGTTGGCAGATGGCGCTTTTTGCTTATTAATGCTTTTATAAGGTAAACGTTTTAATGGAAATTTCCTTAATTCAATTTATTTTCTTACACAATTACACTTGTGTCATTTATTGCACGATTATTTTTCGAAATCAAAAGATAATAATTTATAAAAATATTTGAATAATGTAGGCCATAGAAAAATTTAAATGTAAATTTTAAATTTCATCCTTTATTTAATATAGAACATTATAAAACGTTTTAAAACATTTTTAAACGTCAGAAGAATACGAAAACATTATTTTAAAACTAAATTTAGATAAATTAGATGGATATTCTATAGTTTCGATCACCACTGACGTAACCAAGAGAGGCCCATAGCTACTCGTGGCTACGTTATTAGCCTCTCTTGAGGCTATAATAATATGAAGAGGCTAATAACATTGAGGGTTGCAGCTTCGAGAGAGGTTTTAATATCTCAAAAAAGAATAGTTATAATAAAAATAATAATAATTGAATTTTAATTTTAATATACTACTAACACAGATTTTTTTTTTATATTAAGAAAATATAAAAGCTTATTTGACTACTAAATTTAAATTTATTTGTTAGCCCCCATCTATACTTAATAATTTGCTTCACTATTGGCAGTAGCCGTTATTATATTATAAATTTATAAAATTACTTTATTATATTATGAATTTACATCATTCCTTTACTGTAAACTATCCAGAATTTCTCGATTTTACTCTTGAACACTGTAAAATGAGCCAATGAACACACACTCACGTAAACCCATTTCAGATTGCTTTTACTTTCAACATAAAAATATGGCCATAGTCTTTAAAATCTATTTTCAGTAGAACGTATGCTAGTGATCATAATTAATGAATGAATTTATAAGTTTTATTTATTTAAATATAATTATGAAATTGGTTAAGTTATTCCTTTCGATGGAAGAACTTTATGTAAGAATGAACTCGAATTTCATACTCGAGATTAAAATAAAAACTCTCTTTCTTCCCTATGTAATGCTATCAAGTAAGAAGTTTCTAATGAGAAGAACAATTCATTCAATTTAAATTATTTTAATAGCCTAAAGAAAGAAGATACTCTTTAAAATAATTTTAAATGATTAAATCTTCCTTATATAATATCACATTTAATGATAAAAATAAATGAAATTTTAAGAATGTGAGTTTTATCGATATTCGATACTTATTTTGTATTATTATCAATGAAATTGCTCCGAAACTTATATTAACTATAATTATATATAAAATTAAAATATTTAAAAATGAGAATATTTTAATACGAATATTTAAAATTATAACGCGAGTTAGATATTACAAAATGCTTATCATATATGAATACACCGGTAAAAATATTCTGAATATTTTCTTGAATAACATCAGAAATTAATTTAATTGTCAAGCAGAATTAGAATAGATAGCATTATAATTGAATTCTTCTGTAATGAGCTGTAAGAATGGTGATTTTAAATAGACTAATTTAATTAATCCGAACTGATTCGAACAGTTTGGATCTCTTTATCTGAGACTAGTATTAGCATACTAATCGATAAGCATCGTTAGTACCCTGTTTAATTTTTAATAATTAAAAGAATTTTATATTTATTTAACATTTTTCTTCCAATGTTTATGTATATTTTAAAGATATAATCGGTTAAAATTTCTGAAACCTCTTCATTCAACAGAATCAGTGATGGAAAATTAACTGATAACACGAGATTTATACACATTAAAACTGATATATTTTATTTTAATATTTAGATTTATAGCAAATGCAGCAAAGAGCGGCTTTGTATATTTGACAGAGGCATGCTAACAGGCATGCTTGCCGTAGCATAATGGAAAGAATTTTTGTCACATAAGTAGATAGATCGAATAAGAAAGAAGCGTTACGTAGTTTAATAATTCACTTACGTGTTATAATTTCTCTCTTCTCTCAACTAAAATGTCGCAGTTAATATATGAACCGGCAGAAAAAGAAAAGACGGTTGACGCTAGGAAGTGGATGCCTCTCTGTTTCCAGACGGGCACGATGACGCATGCGCATTGGAGCCCATTTGGAGATCATGCAGAAACAAATACGAACTTCGGTTGCTTGGATCACGTTATTTACCCAGANCTATTATCGTGATTATTCACAACAGAATAGAGAATTGGAATTTCGATCTGGCCTTTGTAATCATAATAAAATAAAATATTATACGATATTCGGCTTAATAATTATGGTTTTAATAAAAGAATTAACAGTAATTTATCTCTTTATTTATGAATTGAATAATAGCATTTCATATCATACTTCATACTTTGTTCTCTTTGTGTTGAATTTATTCATGTAATTTATTCTAATAGGTATAATAACATATTTCATTGTAATGCAGTTAAAGAATATTATGAATTATTAATCTAGATAAATAATAAACAAAATTTAAATATAATTCGAGGATGTTATTCAAATACACGAATTGAAATTGGCCTGTATTTTAAAGATTTACTAGCGAAAGATGCTTATTTTTTTCTAACTTTAATTGCAGTCTGTGTAGAAAACTTTGTGTTCGCTAGCTTTTTTTACTTAAAGGAAGTATTATTTGCTTAGTTATTACAGGATTATATACAGGTTTTAAGGAAGAGAGGCTCTCTGATACTAGTCCACAAACAAGTGGCCATTTTTAAACTTTGCTGAATTTCATTAATCACATTTATAGCAAAGTTATAGGTAATATGAGCAGATAAACATCGTTTCATTCAACGATAACTACCTGTCTCCTACATCGCTAACAAGCATTTCTTACTGAATGGCCAGTTCAGTAATTTCTTTATAAAGGTCAGACGTCTGCTGCTTATCTTTCAGACAGCCAGCTTACTGTCAACCTTTAAACATATCAGTTAGCTGCGTCATACTAATTTTAATTCTTTGATCATGATTTTTATGAAACATGCAACTAATTTAAGAATAGAAAAAGAAAAAAGTAAATTATATCTTTTCATTCCATTTAATTACACTCCGGCCTTTATCCTACTATTGACCTAAATTTATTTTATAGATCTTATTTCACTCTCGATATTTTCAATTTTTTTAAAGTGATAAATATTTAAATAATTCGGAAATTTAATGCAAAAGAATTTTTTGTTTTACAGTAATTAAGTAAACCGATAAAATGTATATTCGAGTCTTTCACGATTATAGGAAATGTGCAAAGGTGCGAATTTTTAATTTAAATTAAAATAAATTATATTTTAATATTAAAATCTATAAATATTACTAGGAAGTAACGAGTTACGCAGGAATATTAAATCGTTTCAAACGTCATCAATCACTAAATAGGTCATTAGTCGAAATTAATAGTATTAAATGCATATGAATGGAAGTTGGAATTAACAATGTTTCAAATTTTTTTTAAGGTATAACGGTAATATCTACTGATATTCATCGATATTAACAGGAAGTGGAAAGAATTATAAACAATTTGTTTAAAGGCAAAGCCAGATACAGCGTAGGTATGTACGAAGGACTCGTGAGTGGGTCAGGGTAGGCTTAAGGCAGAGTTGGAAGCACGACCTTCAGTGCAAAGAACTGGTGGTATGAAAACTGCAAACAGATGGTCAAACGTCTGGCTCTTCATTATTCGACCAGGTAAGGTTACAATATTGTGTACATTTAAGCGGTAAATGTGTAGTTTAACGATAGAAAATTGCTATTTTTTGCGCCGTATTTACGTTCAAAAGTTAATAAATGTAATAACATATAACAATTACGAATTTTCATATTTCACTGAACAGAAATTAGTAATGCTTGGCTGAGCATTGATGCGATTCCGGGTTTTGCTCGAACGTTAAAAAATATAAATCATAATTAATGAANTGTAGTTTAACGATAGAAAATTGCTATTTTTTGCGCCGTATTTACGTTCAAAAGTTAATAAATGTAATAACATATAACAATTACGAATTTTCATATTTCACTGAACAGAAATTAGTAATGCTTGGCTGAGCATTGATGCGATTCCGGGTTTTGCTCGAACGTTAAAAAATATAATACTCTAAATTGTTCACTCTTACACTACATAATTACACAAAGAATTTTTTAAAAAATTTTAAATGCTTTTAAAATATTTTAAAAACAAGATGCTTAATTATATTTAAAAATTCTTTAGTGAAAAACAAATTAAGAATATGGTTTTAAATTTTAATATTTTGAGTAAAATATTTTTTAAAATTATTTCTTAAACATGAAAAAAACCCGAACAAAAATAATTACAAACTGTTTTTAATACGAATAAATTAATTAATAAGATTTATAAGTAATTTTACAGCTAGAAATTAATGTATTGGCTAATATTTTTTAAAATATCTATTATATATAATTCGAAAGTGAGATTGAAAGAGATTGAGATTTGTAGAGAAATTAATGAGGTCTTATAAAATGGAACAAGTTATTGTTAAAAACAAAACTGGTTTTATGTAAGTAATGGTCCACATATATCAGCGCTCGCAATAACAAGTCCATATCCTGGTCCATATCTATTCGTCATATTTGATAGACATTTTATACAAATAAAATTCAACAACAAGAAATAATAAAATTAGAAATAAATTATTTTCCATGTTATATAAAATTAAGCTTTGCAAGGAAGTGTGTTCAGTATATTTACTTTGTAAATGTTTGATATAGATTTAGTGTTGGTTGTATTATGAAGAACATGTTATTTGCAAAGGAAATGTTTATTCTTTACAGAATGATTTTAATGTTGTTTATCTTCTCTCTTTTATTTTTTTCAATTTGTTTTTTATTTTATTCAAGAAACCTTGGCGTCGTTCTTGTACGTCCTTGAATGAATGTCTCGTCCATCAGAAAACAAATTGCATCTATTGAATTCCTTTACAATCTTAAGATGAGAGGAAAATATTTTTGGAATCTTAAATATCATATTTGCAGCTTTTTCTTTAGTATTTTTTGTCTCTTTGTTGATAAGAAATTATCACATTTCTGTCTTATTTTATTAACGAAATTTATACCAGAAAAATAAATATCAAGAAGTATTTTAAATAAGGTTTTTACTTTTAACTACTGATGTTTTTATATTTATATAACAAGAAATTATAGAAATAATGACTGTTTTAACATTATCTTTACTAATTTCTGCTAGCTTTCAAAGAAATTTTTTACAGTATACTTCAATGAATATATTAAAACCCATGACAGTATTACATTGTTGTTGTTATATCATACAATTTTAATATATCTGTTTATCTTTCAGTAGTAGGTTTGTGTTTTAAATCTCTTGAACTAAATTAGCTCTGTAGAATTTCTTAGAAATCACTCCAATAGAAATTCTTTAACAGTATTAAATTGATGCTTTCATCTAATGTTTGCCACTCCAAAAACTCTTTATTGTATTTTCGATAAGATAATGTGTAATTGGCAATCCAAGTACTGTATTTAGAATATAAATGCTCTTAAGAGAGATGTAGTAGTTTCTTAGATACTTAATTATATATCTATTTTTATTACTTACGAGAAAAATAATATAAATTCATCATTCATTTTCTGATTTTACTCAAAATATAACTTACAAATTTTATATTTTGATAAGAAATTATCTGTTTATCTCTTGTTTTCTAGTTAAAGTCATTTTTTAATTTCAATAAAATATAATGATATAAATTCGTTCTTCTCCTAATTTTCTTTAAGGAATGATGAAGATATATTAAGGACATAGATAAAATGATAACATTTAAGTTATCCTTGAAATTTATCAAGGTTGATGGAAGTAACGTTGAAGGAACAATGTGAAGAATGCTGCTGAGATTTCTTCAAATTTCTTTTAACTTCATGATCTTATCGTCCTTGCCTATATTTATTGTGGCAAGGTTAATAGAAACTAACAAAATTTGAAGGATCTACATATTTTTTTCTTGTAATATTGTAATTTTATTGGCAATTTGAACGGACTCTTTTAATTATGAAAGTATAATATAATTTAATATTAATGGCTTGACATAAGATAACGTCTTACATAAATTTACTTGATTTATATACGGTACGCTTAAACAATTGTTTTGATAATAAACAAGTTTAAAAATATAGCCTATATTATCTTTTAAATAAACTATTTATGAATTTTTTATTAATAAAATTTAATGGTTTATTTTCTATAAAAAGCGATTTAATCTATAAAATAAAACTTTTATATTCTCAAAATTTGATTGATGAAGAAAATATTTAAAAAGTTAATTCCCCCCACACACAAACATGACTTGTAAATACAGAGTGGTTCAAAATTCAGTTAACCGTTTTAAAATAAATATTTTATTCAAGTTTCTATTAACAAACTTAAAAGATCTGTTCCAAATGAGATTTTTCATATTTGATTAAGTATTTCCAGTACATTTGATAGTCTTGATTTGGTGTAACAGTTTTGGTTAACTAAGTTATGGACCACCCTGTTCTTTAAAATGCAAATTTTCCAAACACATTCAAATCAGCTAATTTTAAGTAATTTATAACTTCACATTATTCGGTTTTATGTCCAATATTAAATTGCAGTGTTTATAATTTATACAGAATTTAAGATAATTTGTTTTAACAGTACAAACTATCCTATCTACGCGAAGTCTTTAATTAATGTATATCAATTGCATGTTAAATTTTTAAACAATTGTTAAATAAGTGGGCAAGTTTATTAAAGAATAAAAAAATCAAAATGTGCATTATTATATTAGATACATTATTAGTATATATGTAAATTAATACAGAAAATTGCCCAAAAATCAGGTAACCGTGTGTTTTGCAAGCAATTCAGAAATTCCTGCAAGAAAATCAGCAATTTTTGAAATTATGTTAAAGCGCTGTAATCCCTATACTGAACAAACATCTTATTTTAAATAACTTTTGTAAATTTTACCATTTATAAAGTATTTGCATACGAATCAAAATTTTTCGTTACAATGATTAATCGACTTTTGGGCCACCCTGTAAATCACAATTAAAAGTATTGCATTAATTTAACATGTATAAGGCCCGTTTCAGACGAGCGGAATTTCTACAGAACGGCTGCTCGGTGCGTTGCTTTTTTCTGTGGACACTCTACGGATGTCCGAATGGCCGAGCAGTTAAGGTCTGCCGCTTTGGGGACCCGGGTCAAAAAATTCCAAAAATTCGGAGTGGTCCATCCGGATATGTCGGGTTCTATACCTTACTACCCGGTTCCCTCATTTTGGGCCTTTCGAACCGTAATGAGCTTACTAAAAAAGCCTTCTTAGTGCCCACAGGGCGGAAAGAGTTAAGTTTTGCGCTGCGCCTATGCGCCACACCGACAATCTAGAGTCTCCAGATATGACGCCAAATTTAAATTTCGGTGTTCTTATTGCAGTAATGAGTTTATAAAAGATTGATTTAGGGTTTTCTGTTGGTGGGGATCAGGCAATTGCACTTTTTTCCCTTAGTACTACAGGCAACGTGCCATTACCTGTAGTAAGATAACACGAGACTTGCTAGGCGGACTATATAACGACTACGCACTTTCCGCACAACTGCCACATCCGCTCGTGTGAATTATTCGATACGATGCAATAGCCCATAGCAAGTTTCGCTATCGGCAATGAGGTTGGCAAGTGGCGACGTTCCGTCGTGTGTGAATTTAGCCTAAGTCGCTGTCGTGCAGAAATTCCGCATGTCTGATCCCGGCCTCAAATCTTATTCTAAAAGTTAAACGCATACGGAAGTTCCCTGAATTAGTTTCATTTAAGAATTAATGATTGAAATCGTACATTTAAATGCAAAAAATTATTGAATAATAGTTTGTACAATAGTGTTGGAGTTGAAATCCAATAAGACTACAGGTCTGTTCGATTGGCTAGGATAGTACAATTTTTACGTAAATTTGACGTCATTCTTCAGATATTTTCATTGTAAAACTGAATTAAAGTAAAATTGACGTACACGTAAAAGTGTACCGTATCCCAACCAATCGAACAGACTCTAATTTATTTTCAAAAGTGTACTTTGAAAAGAATAGGTCTATACTGTAAATATTAAATTTAAAAACATCGACACATTCTGTCAGTTGTCACATTTCATCTAAGCAACTTCTAAGCTACACGTACTTACGTAGATTGACAGAATGATGTCAGAGAAGTCTCGAAGTTTGTCAAACTCTTGTTAAATTTAAATTACTTAATGCTCAATTAATTGGTCTAAATCGTAAGGTTAAATAAAATCGGTTTTAATCAATAATCAATACAAAGAAAATTTCATGAGTTTTTCTACTTAAAGCTAACATTAATCAATATTTTCTTATATTTTTCTTACTTTATTTAAAAATAGAAATATGTCATTCTTTCTGATTTACAATAAATATTATTTAAAAACACTGATAAAAAATACCTTATTTATGTACTTTTTAATTTAATATCAATTGAACTTTAATGAGACATTCTCTATTATTTTATACTATTATACAGTACTATAACATTTCGCAGTATATCTGTATAACACATTAATGTATTTAGTGCTTTAATGATATCATTTTTATACTTTAAATGCTTACAGGGGTTATAAAAGTAGGTATACAGTTGTAAATCTGAGAAATATAATGTTTGTGGTTCATTGTTATTTTTATCTTTTATTTCGTA